TTTGAAATGTTTTAAAATATTATAAAAATCTCTTATTATAGGGTTGATATAGTGCAAAAAATAAAAAAGAAGACTACTTCGATAAAATTGAAATTCAATTTTTTTATAAAAATATTTATTTAAAATTGTGAGGTACAAAATATGAATATATTTTTTTTATGAAACACATTTTCTTAATATTTCAATACATGCTTGTTTTTGTATAGCTTTTAGTACAAAACAATTTTTTTTATTATAATATTGTAATAGTTGATTTTTTTCATTACTTTTACAGATACGGTATTATATACAAATACATGTATACTATAACATACAAATATTACATAAAATAATTACTCTTTATTATAAATAGTTAACAGTTTCGGCGCATTTTCTGCCTCTTCAATTTCGGCTACCAATCGCGACGCCTCTTGCTTGAGGCGTATCAAAACCTTAACGCGTTTAACTTCCAATTTTTGTTGGCACAACGTCTGCTTCAATTCCGCTATTTGATCAAACAACTTCTGCCTATACTCCTCGGCGTCATCGCATGTTTGGGTGCCAACAGTTGCGGTCGGTTTATTGAGTTCCCGCAAGAGCGACTGGCATGGATAAGCGTATTCATTGAGCGTATTGTCTGATGGCAACAACATCGTGTCATCGAAGTGTTTGTCGCAAATGAACAGGATTTTGTGCCAATCGGTCGCTATATCCAAACCAAGTTGTATAAACCAAAAATGACGTTGGAAAGTCTGCGCTTCGGGTGAGGGAAATTCGTAGATTTTGCGAAAATTGGTGCATTTGAGAACACAGTAGGGCACCACATCGTCATCTTCTGCTTGTTGTGTGGTTGATGTTGGCGCAAGATGTATTTCTGCTTCAGCAGACTTCAGCAATTCGTCGTCGTCATTATTGGTGTTTGCAGGCACTGCAGTGGTCTTTGTGTTCAAAATGTGCTTGGCTTTGGCCAACAATTCCTCGATTGTATCGATTGATTCGGGTTGGCCGTGCGCGGCACTTGCAGGTATTTTAAATGGTGGCTTGGTTATGGTAAGTGGCATTGTTGTTGTAGCGATTGTTGCTTTTGCTGCTGAGGGTCTATGCATCATTTGCATAATTTCTTTTCGATTTTGCAGAATTTGCGGTGTTCTCCTTTCCGAAAATGTCACTGTATTCCCGTTAACTACATTCGTTGGCAGTTTGCTGTTTATTATTTCGACGCTTGTTATTTTTGCGCGATGTGGATCGTCCTGAATTGCAGGGACCACTTTCAAATTTGCGTTTAGCCCAGCAACAATCGATGGTTTGCTGTTTATTATCTCCACGCTCGTGATTTCGAAAGCATTCGGATCTGGTTTATTAAAAATTTTTGTTGGCACTTGGGTTGTTGCAACGGTAGATGCACTTTGTGTGCTTAGTATTTGTTTACCATTTAGATTAGTTCCCGTCAAATCGCCAGCAATTCTTTTTTGGTGTATGCTTAGTTTTTCCCTTTCACCAGCTTGTTTTATTTCCTCAACTAACTTCTTGGCTGCCAGCGCAATGGCATCGGGCTGCTTTTGCATGTTTGCCAAAGTACTGTTAGCTGACACCTCCTTTTGCATGGTCTTCACCACTTGCTGCCAACTCTCCGCTAAAGCGACTGCCTTTGTCAAATTAGTTTGTTGTTGTGGTTGTTGCTTAATCACATCGTTCTTAACGGTTGCTGCTTTCCATTGCGTTAGTACCTTGCTATTATGAAGTTGTTGTTTCGGTTGTACCGACATTACGCGTTTATTAACGGCTTGCGTTTTCTTTTCTGTTAACAACTTGCCAGCCATGTTTGGCTCATCCGATACTATTACAACTTCAGTTTTACTCTCGCTACTCGTCTCTGTGCTACATTTGACTACTGTATTATTTTGACCCAGCAATAGGGAGAAACTCTCTGTGGGATAAGTTTCGGCCAGTTGGTCTAATATCGGATCTGAAATTAAGGCGAATTCAGCGTTCGCTTTGTTTACGCCGTTGCCACTAAAGTTGTTTAACTCATCAACATTATTTTCGTGGTAATCGTAGTGGTCATCTTGCTCCCCTAACTCGCCATTATTTTGCTGTTCATCAAACGCATGCGTAAATTTCACCTTCTTCG